GCAGGAACTGCCTCCTACCACCTTCTTCATGTGCTTGCTCACTACTGACCCCTGCTGCCTACTGGCTCCTGACACCCTCATTTCCACACAATGTCAAAGTCCACTCACTTTCAGGTAGATTGGGACGTTGTTTTTGAGGCATGAAGGTGACTGGTGTCACATAGTTCCAATTCTTCATCCTTCTCTGAAACTGAAAGTTGCTCTTTTACAGTCGGAAGAACTCCCTGGGACTCATTGTTGCTTTGGACTATAAGAGAGAAGGGAAGGGGCAGCTGTACTGGGATGACGGTGTATCGAGAGGTGGGTGTCCCTACATGCGGTCACTGTGGTTCTCGGTGACAGTGAGTCATCACAGGCCACCCAATATGGCACTAACTAACCCTACTGACACTCTTAATTTATTTTTGTAGCTCAGAATCAATCGGTTAAAATGTATTCTGAGCTTTCTGTCAGTCAAGCATGATACATCAAAATAGACTTTAAATGTATAACTTATATTATTACTGACTGTACCAAAGCTACCGACGTTATTGCATTGAATGTAATGACTCCCTTCCCTAGATAACATTGATACTAGGCAATGTTAATCGCTTTGAAAAGTACTGCCCTAGTTACTATTGAAAGATGAGTATCTAGTACATGTAATATGTTTTTCTATTCTAAGGTTTCCTTGTAAGTACCTCATATAAGTTTATGGTCTGTAATGCTATAAAAATCATGTCCTGTACAGAGCTAGCATTTATTGGCTATTGGTTATTGCCTGGTGGCAGGAGCTGTAAAGATGAATAAGACATAAATGTTGCCCTGCAGGAACTCCTGTCCAGCAGGATAAATACGACACGCACGTTCCTAGCTATAGTATAAGGCAGAGTGTGTCCAATGCCAGCACAGTGATGCCCCCGGGGCCATAGGGGTTCAGAGGAAGTGGTCCAGGAAACCTCTGCAGAGGTTTGATGAAAATGTGCGTACTCAGATGAGCAGAGCTAGACAGCAGAGGTATTCTGGATGAAGAAGAGCATGCTCCCACTGGCCCTGTTTCGGACTAATGAGTGACCTCTATTTTTCTCTTTCAGCTGCTGTAACAAATTATATTTTGTATAATTTCTCTGTTACTTCTGTAAGTACTATTTTTGAACACAAAATAGTATATTTCTTGCAATAATTGCTTTTTGAGTTTTTGGCTTCCTGTAGATGCTTGTTCATGTGGAGCAGGGCAGGCTGACAATATGATGGTCTCAAAAAGGATTCTAGTTACCATGAATTTGCTGAGTTTGTGTCATATATACAAACCTACAGAACATCAATATTGTACAGAAATTTGTTTCTTGGAAAAATAATTCTTGCTTTTGAGTTTTATGTGCTGGGTTTTGGCTTTCAAGATATGTCCTTATTGGGGTGTGCAAGTCAGTATAGGGGGTGGGTGGAAGTGATCAGTGTGAAGGGCCTTTTTGAGTGTTTTTGCTATAGGGCGTGTGCGCTCGCTAGAAAGACAGAGAGAGACAGAGAGACAGGAAGCGAGAAATCACCCCCCGGGGGGATGGCCACGCCACAATCCCTTCTCCTCCATTCTCCTCTTGGGATCTTGGGCATATATTCACCTGTGCCCGGCATGAGTTTAAGCCACCGGGTCTGGAACTTGAACCATGGTTGACTACATGGGAGTCCAGCGACATAGCCATTACACTGACTGCTGGTCCCTGAAGTGCCTTTTTGAGGTTCTTCCCAAACAGCTTTCCTTTCCAGGGTCTAAATCTTGGCCTTTGGCACAGGCATCAAGTGGCGGCTTGGAGAGGTTGGATGTTGCTTCTTCATCTCTATTTCCCAAGCAGTCTAAGAGACAGAGAGGCAGGAAGGCTGAGGATGGGAACATTATCCTTTGGCTTTCTTAGGGTCTGCTTAGGTACCAACAGAGAATTCTTTCGTGGGGATCTCTCTGCTCCTTTTTTTTCTTTTTAATTTACATGCATTTTGTAAATTAAACGTTTTGAGATAAAGATCTCTATGCAGTTGTAAAAAATAATAGAGATGCCCATGCTCATTACCCAGTTTTCCTTAAAACTGATATATGTGATGAAATGTGAATGTGTGTTTATATTTCGTGAGCCAGGAGCCTGTCTGTATTCTTGTATCTTTTTGCTTGCTTTTTTAAAGTGCCCATCTTGTCTGCTTGAAAATTCTATGTGTCAGGGGCGTATTTTCTAAATTAGAAAAGAACCAAAGAACCAAGAGCAAACACAATCTGTTACTGAAAGATACAACGCTGTTAAGAGTCTGAGTTAGTGAATTCCCTGGGGACGATCACCTGGCAACGTGTAGAATCACAGAGAACATGGGAGTACCTTAGACCTCAGAAGAAGAAATGTTGGATGGCTTGTATGGGCTGTACCTGGTCTTTAAACTGACATTTTTTTTCCAGAACCGTCTACAGGCAAAGGTTATATATTGTAATTACATGGACCCTGACAACCTGACGTTTACAGATATCAGAATCCTGGGAATGGACAAGCAGCCGGCTAATTTTACTGTCATAGTTAATGGTAGTGTTACCTCCGACGTGCTGAATGTCACCTACAGTGCTTCAACAAAGGTGGGGGATAGTTCTGCACATCCTGCAGGGGCCTTTCTAAAAGCCTCGGCCAGAGGTTCTAGCCATTGGACTGCCCTTGCTCTTTGGACTTTGGGCAGTTACAGAAATAGCTAGCTTGCTGGGAGACCCACCACTTCGCAACAAGGATGCAGGAGAAACACGTGCATGCCAAATACCAGCGCTCGGCTTCGTCTGCCGTAGACCCCTGAAGACAATAGTGAGAACTAGGCCCGAGAAGATGATTCTTCACTGGGCAGGCTGATTCCAGATAGCGAAATATGCTGGGCTATGTCTGGGGGTTATTTGCACAGTTGTCCTCTTATTGAATACAAAGACCCTCTTTGAGACAGTCAATAATTTCCCTTAGTTTTTTAAAGTTATTTTTATACCGTCACAAAAAATGAAAATGGAATAAAACAAAAGGGGTGACAGTTTTACTGTTATTGAATGGTTCCCTTACCTTACTACTTGAATATTTTGAGTGCTGTGAAATTATGATTTTTTTTGTGGGAGAGATTTTTGGTATAGGGTGTGTGCATTCACTAGAAAGACAGAGAGAGACAAAGAGACAGAAAGCAAGAAATTACTCCCCATGAGGAATGGCCATGCCACAATCCATTCTCCATTCTCCTCTCTGGATCTTGGGCACGCATGTACACACGCCCGACATGAGTTTAAGCCACCAGGTCCAGGACTTGAACCGCAGTAGACTACATGGGAGCCCAGCGACATAGCCATTATGCCAATTGCTGATCCCAAAATTATTATTTCTTAGGGCATCCCTCTGTCATTTCAACTATACAAGTAACATAGGATAAGAGTGGTTTCTAGAGTTCAACGGAATGGGGCTCCAATCCGAACTCTGCTGCCACCTTGCTGTGAGATTTTGGTCAAGGTATTAAACCTCTGTACTTCTGTTTTTTTTTTCTGTTAAATGGAGATAGCCATAGTATTCATAGCATGAGGCCGATGTATCGGGTTAACAGAGAGAATGCTTACACAGTGTTCATCACAGTGCTTGGCCCACATGCATATTCAATAAAGTTTAGCTATTGTTACATTACTATCATTTTACATCAATAAACATCACACCCAGAGGACAATAGCAGCCTGGTCTGTATTCTGTATACTTGTTTTTTTTTTTTTCTTTTTCTTTTTTTCAGAGTTTAGGACTTTTTTTTTATTTGTCCTAAAGTCATCTAAGCAAAAATCATGATAAAACATTCTGCTTTCCTTTACAATTGCCCAACGCAACAACAAACGAACAAACAAACAAAACCAAAAAAGACCCAAAACTATTTGTAGGAAAAAAATGGTTTTGTACATGAGATGAAACAATATAAATTCAAAACTTACAGATAAGGGTTAGCTCTATTGCTCATCTCTTTAAAAAGTTTATATGATATCCAGTCAAAACCAACAAGAGTATCTCCCTTGAAACGTTATTTCTGTACTTGTTAACAAGGTGGAAGCTCTTACACCCTGTGACTCCATGAGGTGAGAAAGGTCAGAAGAAGTGGACTTCCAAATATCTCCTGGCAAAGTGATTTTAGAGGAAGGCTAGGGCTTTATCCAGGTGTTCCTACCTTACCTGGTTTGTCATGTGGTCTCCTTTCTCTCTCCCAGGTGGTGACCATTACTAACCTCCAGGGATTGGCCCTGGGACAAGAATTCTCCCTTGAGTGGAGTCTTCCAGTCAGTGACTTAGAGAAGTTCAACTGCTACCCTGAGGGTCCTACGGCCTCTGAGGAGAGTTGCAGGCAGCGTGGGTGCCTTTGGGAGGTAAGGACTAGGAGCAGGCCATCCTATTGATCAATAAGCTATAAAAACTATGCCACAAATAAGGAGGAATTTAGAAAACACTTTTTGAATGTTGATGATGACCTAAACAATGATACTGGACCAACATTCATTTTGTCACCTGTGCACGATAGGGAATCGGTATTTCCCACGATAGCCCGAATGAGTAGAAATGTGATACTCCAATCTCATAATTTAAAACCTATTTTAAACATAATAACACATGAGACTAGCAGTTGGCATAATGGCTATGTAGCTGGACTCCCATGTAGTCGACCGTGGTTCAAGTCCCGGACCCAGTGGCTTAAACTTACACTGGTTGCATGTGCATGTGTGCCCAAGATCCCAAGAGGAGAATGGAGGAGAAGAGATTGTGGTGTGGCCATCCCCCTAGGGGGTGATTTATCACCTTCTGTCTTTCTGGTGAATGCATGTGCCCTATAGCAAAAGCCTCTCAAAAAAAAATAATAATAACACACAAGAGGTATGCAATGTGCACTGAGTTCTTTATTTTTGGTAAGAGAATTTTGCTATAGGGCACATGCTCTCGCTGGACAGAGAGACAGAAGGTGAGAAATCACCCTCAGGGGGATGGCCATGCAGCATTCCCTTCTCCTCCATTCTCCTCTCAGGATTTTGGGCACACACGCACACACATCCAGCATGAGTTTCAAATCGCCAGGTCCAGGATTTGAACCACAGTCAACTATGTGGGAGTCCAGCGACATAACCACTACACCACTTGCTGGTCCCAGTGCACTGAGTATTCTAAGTGTTCTTTTTTCAAGTCCAAGTATTAAGGGTAAAGTAAGGCTGTTCCTTTCCACCTGAACAACAGAGAGAGTGAAACCTAGAAAAAAAATCTGACTCCCTCTTCTTACACCATGGGCAGTAAGGATGCTGGGAGCAGAGCCTGCCTGAGGTTTCGTGTTCAGATCAGGCTTCTTGCCGATCTGTCCCTATTCACTGTGTGTGTGTGTGTGTGTGTGTGTGAGAGAGAGAGAGAGAGAGAGAGAGAGAGAGAGAGAGAAATGGGTGTACAGTTTGCTAGGACTGCAGTAACAAAGTACCACACACTGGGTACTCTGTGGTGCAAAGTATATAACTTTATTCCCTCACAGCTCTGGAGTCTACACGCCTGAGGTAAAGGTCTTTCAAGGTTGGTTCCTTCTGGGGCAGTACAGGGACATCTGTTCCATGCCTCTCCCCTAACTTCCAGTGGTTTGTGGGCCTTGTTTGGCATTTCTTAGCTTGCATAGGTGCCTCACCCTGATCTCTGCCTTCACGTTCACATGGCTTCCCTGTGTGAGTATCTGTCTCTATCCAAATTTCCCCTCATAATGACACCAGCCATATTGTACTGCGGCCCATCTTAAGAACCTCATCTTGATTGTCTGCCAACCCCTAGAAAAGATGAGGACTTAGTATCTTTCTGAGGGCATGATTCACCCATGATGATGGGCATGGTGTAAGAGACCGAGGCTGTTTAACCAGCTTCTTCAGCCTCAGAGTGTGGTGTTAGACGCTAACCAAGGATTCCTCCTGTTGTTCCAGCCCACGACTGCTCCAGGCGTGCCCGCCTGCTACTATGACACCATTCCTAATTACGCTGCCAGTAACATTCAGTACCTGTCCACGGGCATCACCACACACCTTGCCCTCCTGACGCCCCCTGAGTCTGAGCGGGCAGCGGCGGCACCACCACCTCCACCACCATCAGGTCGTGAGCTGCCTCTGCCTGGCCGACCTGCAACCACCGCCTCTGATCCTCTCTCTGCAAAGATTGGCTCCCTGGAAGTGAGCGTCATCTACCACACAGAATCCATGCTGCAGGTCAAGGTAACTCCTGTGGCAGGCTTTTGTTCTCTTCATGGAGTTCTTAATCCACAGCTCTATATGGATGGACGTCATCAAAACAGCTGGTTGTCCCAGTCTCTAATCTGTAATCCATCAGGATGATGTATTTCCTATAATGAGGAGTACTCTAGGTCCTAAACAACCTAAAATATCATTGTTTAGCCTGAGGAAATGAGCCTGCTCTGTGGTAAACTCATACAGGAAGCATGACCTTCCAACAGTAGAGTGATTCGTCTAGTGATGGTTCTCATACTTTGGCATGCTTCAGACTCACCTGCAGAGTTTTAAAACCCAGAGTGCTGGGAACCAGCAGTTAGCGTAATGGCTATGTCGCTGGACTCCCACGTAGTCGACCGCGGTTCGTGTCCTGGACCCGGTGGCTTAAAACTCACACCAGGCACGTGTGCGTGCATGCCCAAGATCCCGAGAGGAGAATGGAGGAGAAGGGATTGCGGCGTGACCATCCCCCCTGGGGGGTGATTTCTCGCTTTCTGTCTCTATGTCTCTCTCTGTCTGTCTGGCGAGCGCACGCACCCTACAGTGAAAATCTCTCCAAAAATCTGTATACAAGCTAAAATCAACATTAGATAATCAGGTTCATAAAGGAAAACAACAACAGATGGCATAGTGGTTACGTCCTTGGGCTCCCACATGGCCGACTGTGGTTTGAGTCCTGGATTCGGTGGCCTGAAACTTACGCTGGGTGTAGGTACATGCATGCTCAAGATCTCAGGGATTGTGGCATGACCATCCTCCCTGGAGTCAGGGAGTGATTTCTTGCTTTCTGTCTCTCTGTTGCTCTCTGTCTTCTTGGTGAGCACAGGCACCCTATAGCACCTAAGGACCATATGTGGGCTAACAAGATCACAAGGGAGGACAGCAGGTAGCATGGTAGTTAAGGCACTGGACTCCACATGGCTGACTGAGATTTGAGTTCTGGACCCAGTGGGCTGAAAATTGCACCAGGCACATGTGTGTGCATGCTCAACATCCCAAGAAGAGAATGAGGAAGAAGGGACTACAGTGTGGACATCCCCTTGGGGGGTGATTTCTCGCTTTCCTTCTCTCTCTCTCTCTCTCTCTCTCCATAGAGAGCACATGCACTCTATGGGAAAAAATTTAAAAAAACATCACAAGGAAAAGCATGATCACTCAAAATGGTGCTACCTTCTGACCTCACATAACATGCATGTGTCTATGTGGTTGGGACGTCTGATGCTGCCCAGTGGTTCGAACTGGCCACAAAAGCGTGGAAACTGAATTATATAAATTTGCATCAGGTTTTTAGGTTTGAAACTCAGAAAGTTTATTTCTCTCTTCTTTCCAGATCTATGATCCCACTAATAAAAGGTATGAGGTCCCAGTGCCTCTGAATATACCTCCCTCACCAGTTGACTCCCCTGAAAACTGCCTGTACGATGTCAGGATTCTGAACAATCCTTTTGGAATCCAGGTTCGACGCAAAAACCCCAACACTGTGATGTAAGCACTGTTTATTTGGTTCTAAATGAAGTGGTTCTAGGTCCAGATACAGCGGTTCTAATGAATATGGGTGAAATATTAATCTCAGAGACTCTGTATGTTTGTTAAATAGTGTATCTATTTCCTCCCACTTCATTTGGGAACTTTATTTCCTACTGGTCATTAACTCAAGAAAAATTAAGCAATCAAAGTTTAAAAACTAATTAAGTGTTGCTTGTTTTCATAGAAAGAAAAAATATATGTTCTATTTGTTGTTCTTGTTAAGTAGAAAACTAATAATTGTAACAGATGACTTCATAGATAAATCAGAACTATATTATGCCTCATTAAGAAATAATAACTGGGGCCAGACAGCAGTAAAACACCAGGCTTTGTGATGTAACCCCATATGGGAAGGTCCCTGGTTCAAGTCTGGAACTTGCCCTGAGTATCCTAGGCACATGCTTCCCCATGGTCTTGGGCTGGGTTGGAGCATGGCAGTGGGAGCCTGTTGAGGGGTGCTAGCTCTCTCTTGGAATAAATAAGTTAAAAAGAGAGAGAAATAATAACTGAAGAGGTGGGAGAGGAGCAAAGGATAAAAAGAGAGAAATGGCTTCTTATAAACTTTGCTTCTATGGCCACCATAGACTTAAAACCTTTTCATGATGTTAGCATGAAAGAAATGGTCATCTCTCATCCCCTGTCCTACTGCTGAATGAAGTGAAGGGAAGGACTGGATTTTGCCTGGGGTGAGATTTCTCATCCCCGCAGAAGCTGTCACCTGAATGTGAACATGTGTACCTATCTGTATTTGGCTTTTGCTCTCTTCGACCGTATATCTTATTTTCTTTCTGTTGCCATCCTTGGTAAGAAGTTCTTTAGCTAAGCCAGAGAAGTTGTTCTGAATATTTCACTTTTTCCTGTCAGAAAGTTGCTTAGATCACATTCATTTATTCATATATTCGTTAAGACTGATATGCCAGGCATTGAGAATTAGAAATAAAGAGATGAAGGCCCTCAATGAGCCCATGACCAAAAAGAAGTTCTCAGTCTTGCAAACCACATAAAAAAAATGTAAACGTAGAACCTCAATAGTGAGTCATGACCATGGTTATGATCTGGGTCATTTCAATCTTTGAACCTGGATCCAGATGTGCAATAATTCAGGAGAATTTCCTGACATTACTTCAGATGTATCTGTGTCTGCTCTGGGCTGATCTGTAGCTCAGCATGGAGGTCTGCCTTGTGTTGCAGTTGGGACTCTCAGCTCCCCGGCTTCATCTTCAGCGACATGTTCCTCTCCATTTCTACCCACCTTCCCTCGCAGTACATCTATGGCTTTGGGGAAAGTGAGCACACAGCTTTCAGAAGAAACATGAGCTGGAACACATGGGGAATGTTTGCTCGTGATGAGCCCCCAGCGGTAAGGACAGAGGGATATTAGCAGTTGGTTTCTCCTTAGCTGAATGTATTTGAAACCTTATGCTCCTATGAGGTGTCTATTCCTCAGCTTCACTTCATATTGATAAATTCTGATCTCAAATAAAATGGGCCACTTGCCACGTCCATTAGTCCCTAAAATATATATATATATATGTAAATAATAACTGAAGAGGTGGGAGAGGAGCAAAGGATAAAAAGAGAGAAATGGCTTCTTATAAACTTTGCTTCTATGGCCACCATAGACTTAAAACCTTTTCATGATGTTAGCATGAAAGAAATGGTCATCTCTCATCCCCTGTCCTACTGCTGAATGAAGTGAAGGGAAGGACTGGATTTTGCCTGGGGTGAGATTTCTCATCCCCGCAGAAGCTGTCACCTGAATGTGAACATGTGTACCTATCTGTATTTGGCTTTTGCTCTCTTCGACCGTATATCTTATTTTCTTTCTGTTGCCATCCTTGGTAAGAAGTTCTTTAGCTAAGCCAGAGAAGTTGTTCTGAATATTTCACTTTTTCCTGTCAGAAAGTTGCTTAGATCACATTCATTTATTCATATATTCGTTAAGACTGATATGCCAGGCATTGAGAATTAGAAATAAAGAGATGAAGGCCCTCAATGAGCCCATGACCAAAAAGAAGTTCTCAGTCTTGCAAACCACATAAAAAAAATGTAAACGTAGAACCTCAATAGTGAGTCATGACCATGGTTATGATCTGGGTCATTTCAATCTTTGAACCTGGATCCAGATGTGCAATAATTCAGGAGAATTTCCTGACATTACTTCAGATGTATCTGTGTCTGCTCTGGGCTGATCTGTAGCTCAGCATGGAGGTCTGCCTTGTGTTGCAGTTGGGACTCTCAGCTCCCCGGCTTCATCTTCAGCGACATGTTCCTCTCCATTTCTACCCACCTTCCCTCGCAGTACATCTATGGCTTTGGGGAAAGTGAGCACACAGCTTTCAGAAGAAACATGAGCTGGAACACATGGGGAATGTTTGCTCGTGATGAGCCCCCAGCGGTAAGGACAGAGGGATATTAGCAGTTGGTTTCTCCTTAGCTGAATGTATTTGAAACCTTATGCTCCTATGAGGTGTCTATTCCTCAGCTTCACTTCATATTGATAAATTCTGATCTCAAATAAAATGGGCCACTTGCCACGTCCATTAGTCCCTAAAATATATATATATATATGTATATATGTGTGTGTATATCTATATATATATATAATATATAGTTGACTATGAATTTTATTTATTTCACAAACTTTTATTGAATCAAATTCTGCATATCAATTAGGCACATTGCTAATTGCTTAGCTACAAATTTATTAAGACATTAGCTTTTTGGGGCTTGCAGGTGGCATGGTGGCTTGGGCACTGGACTCCCACATGGCCGACCGTGATTCATGTTCCAGACCTGGTGGCTTGCTTTCTCACTTTCTCTCTCTCTCTTTCTGGTGAGTGTACATGCTCTGTAACAGATTAAAAATAATGATAATAATAAAAAAAAGACATAACGACTTATAGGCTCATGAGAGACACAGGTACAGAAATAATGACAACACAGGATAATCAGTCCTCTAATAGAATTATGTAATGATAAACGAGACAGACACAGAGGGAAGGAGAGCATGGGTGTTTCCTTGGGGTGGAAGGAAAGGGCACATAAGGCTTCATAAAGAAAGAGACACTGAGCTGATCATTTAAGGTGAAGTATGAATTTGCTGTTGGAAGTATGCTGTAAGAATAATTTCTTGGATCTTTTGTATTACCCCATGACTCTCCCAGTACAAGAAGAACTCCTATGGTGTCCACCCCTACTATATGGCACTGGAGGACGATGGTAGTGCCCACGGAGTGCTCCTGCTCAACAGCAATGCCATGGGTAAGACGGAGGCACATCCCTGTGTAACACCATGGACAGCGGTGATCACTGTGCTGGGATATGAGATATCAGTAAAAATAGAGATATTCAGGGGCACAAGAAATGGGACAAATAAACTGACCTTCTGTTCATTCATTCATTTTTAAAACATTAAACAACAAATAATTTCCTCAGAGCTCTAGACTAGGTATTAGGTGTAAAATTTTGACTAAACATGGTCTCTACTCTTTTTGTTTTGTTTTTAATTGTCAGATGGTACATGTGCTTGCCAAAGAGAGAGAGAGAAAGAGAGAGAGGGAGCAAAGCCCCCTATGGGATATGGCCATGCTGCCATCCTTTTTCCTTCATTTCCCCTTCTGATCAGTATTTTGGGAATGTCAGCACAGAAACACCCCAGAGTGTTTTTCAAGCCACCAGGGCTGGGATTCAGACTGTGGTCAGCCATATGGGATCCAGTTCTCAATGCGCAGTCCTTAAGCACTGCACTATGGGACAGTCTCTACTCTTATGTTACCTTGTATTACTATGACACTTTGATCCTTTTCAGAGGGATGTAAATTGTTGACATATCTAAAAATCCATCTCTGATTCCACTGAATGAGAAAAGCCTTGTAGAAGGGGAAGGCATTCAATAAAGAGAATGAAAATAGCAAACGTTAGGGTAGATGCTCTATCTGGATGATTCATAGCTCCAAGACTGCTTCTCATCTATTTTATATTTTTAATTTTTACAGATGTGACATTCCAGCCTACACCTGCTCTGACATATCGCATCACAGGAGGGATTTTGGACTTTTATATGGTTTTAGGGCCAACCCCTGAACTTGTAACTCAGCAATACACTGAGGTTGGAAGCTATCAAATATTTATTGAGTGTTACTACATTATTAGTATTGAGATAAGCCAGGTGTACTTATGACCTTGTTTGTCCCCACTAGATGTATCTTTCTTGAAAATCAGGTTTTAGTGTTATAGAAGTATAAAGACATACCCATGTGTCTCTTGATTACTAAATTGCCTGTTTAAGAATATTTAATTAGTAATAAACAAGTTCTCTAGAGTGAAAACTCTAGAATATAGAGAAACTTAAATTGCAATATTTCTGTATCACTCTACATTCTATTAGTTGTTCCACATTTATCTGACTTCCTTATTTTTCTTGAGTGAGGCCTCTTAGATCAGACAGTATTCAGTAAAGATGCTGTCTCTAAGTACAAGCCAACCAACTCTTCCTTGCTAAGAAGTCTAACTGCATTTATTTTTGTTTTTACTCTAGTTGATTGGTCGTCCAGTGATGCCTCCATACTGGGCCTTGGGATTCCAGTTGAGTCGCTATGGATACCAGGATGCTACTGAAATCTCCGATTTGTACGATGAGATGGTGGCAGCACAGATTCCCTATGTATGTAACTTAGCCTGCGGTTTCACTAGTTCTGAGCATTCTTGGCTAATTGTATGTTGAAAACAGCTTCATAGAAATTACTACTGAGATTACTTCAGTATAAACAAATGCAGCTGCAGAGCTATTCCTATGTGAAATACATTGTTCATTAAACTCATTTCCTGTTACACTTTAATCAAGGTTCAAAATCTAGAGTGCATATGTCCTTCAGCAGTTAGTGGTGTGATTTGAGGAAGCTGGCACTCACTGTCCCTTGTCAGGAATATCCTGCAGTGGCCATGGCTGTGTGTAGGCCACAACTCTAGGGGTTTAAAGAGAGAATTCTGGAGAGATGAGAGTAAAATGATGATATGCAAGAAAGCAGTTAAAATAAAGCCTTCACTTTCTCTGAAACATACATACACACATACCATATCCTATAATGACAACCTAGTTACTCAGAAAAGTTCCAAGAAATGTCAACGGCAAAATTCTACAGATAGCATGCTCTTTTTCTTCTCATAATGAATTAATAATGATCATTAATTTTCTTTTTCTGCTTCCAATTTACCTCCTGAGATTTTGGAGGACTAGATTGACAGGTGAGAATAAGATAAAATGCTGTGATGTTTTTGTCAAAGATAATTTGACTCATATATCCAAGGCTTTAAATATATATACATATATACTATTTATACTACATAGTTATTAAATATAAATGAGAAAAATTATAAAATAAAAATGTCCATTGATAATTTTTTTTTTTTGGAGAGGTTTTTTTTTTTTTGGTTATAGGGCACGTGCACTCCCCAGAAACACAGAGAGAGAGACAGAAAGTGAGAAATCACCCCCCCCCAGGG